GGGACAAATCAGAAAATTTACCTTCTAACGGAAAACAACACAGCATCGTTTCGAAGTAAACAAGTTGGTCCCAGATACAGGTTAGGGGTGCATGTTATCCTGTAGCTCCCCAAATAACATCGTAGAAAACCAGAACGCAACCAACTCACAAAAAACCATCCACAAGAGACGAGAACAGCTGTCCATCCACGACTAAAAGCGAGGTTAGAGTGAATATTGGACATTCCAACGCTGAGATAATGGAAAATGTAAGTCTAGCTGCCTAAGCATACTCTCCAAAACCTAAATTAGAGTGTTTACAAATTCGAATTAAAAACATTTTGTGAAATAAAAGACTGTATTTCAAACCATAGACAATATCAGTGAATATAAATTAAAATCATATTTTTGAACATTACATAGTATAAGGGTTAGTTAAGTTTATGTGTTCTCAATTTAAGTTAATATGTTTCGTAATACATTTAAAACAATACTAATTGGTTAATTTTCAAAATTAAATTAGGTAGAGTTAAGAAAATATTATCAGTTATTTATTCATATAAAAGTTCATAACGTATCTAGTTTCTGTGTTTCTTTAAAAATATTGTTCGGAATTTAAAGATCAATAGTTAATAAATGTCACATTGTTAAATCGTTAAAAATTTGCCTTCATTCATTGCTTCCTACTCAAATCTATAGTGATAGTAAATTTGAACAATATTGAACCGCTTCTCTGAGATAAGAACTCATGCTAGTATTCTTAATAAGTGTTTTTGAGGGACAGTGTATCATTGATTACTAAACATTCCTATCTACACTGTAATAAAGTGTACACTGTAAATATTATTTATGCAAGATAAAGCTGCCGGAGGAGAGATAAGCAAAACCAAGGTAAGAAAAGTATAATTCGATGAAATTTGTCATTGTTATTGCTTAACTTTATTCTGAGAACCTGCATCAAATAAAAATTAATTTCAATACACACAAATTACATTCTACACAACAAAAGGCGCCCAAACGAATATTTAATCATTAAACATTACAAAAATTATATATTATACTACATAACAAAAAACAAATACACAAAATAAAGTAAAAATATATAAAAATAATAATACATAACCTGATATGTGAAACCATGCTTCGTCAGTGAAAAATGACAAGTTCAACAAATTATTATTCATATTTTCTATATACCACTCACAGTATTGTAATCGTTTTCCATAGTCCATGGGAGTAATTCCTGCACAACAGTTACCTTGTATAGGTGTAAATGCAGTTGTTTCTTTAAAGCTTTATGACATGTTCCAACTGAAAGCTCTAAAATGAAAATTTTATAATATTTTAGAGGCAACTAAATTTGAGAATATTTGCACGATTTTAACATAAAAATACCTGTTTGAGCAGACAACTTTGATATGAACTTTGTAGGACTTTGATTATTTATTCGTTGCTGTATATTATAGATGACATATTATATATTTCTGTAAGTACAGTTGGTCTGCCCGCAGATTTTCCTTTGCAAATTCAGTGTTTGGTTTCAAATCTTTTGACAATAGCACATTTCCAGTTTAAGAAAGTGTGATAGTCAATGTTTGCATCTGGAATTTCTGTCATAAATTGTTCAATGCAGGATTGTAAAGAGTATGTCCATGACCAGTCTTCATTTCGAATTCCGCTTCGAAAATGGTCCATTACAATAAAGACGTGTTGTTCTCGAGTAAACGGCATTAGGCGTTCTGAAATAAATATACCTAATATTAACCTTAAAATTTTGTTTCTGTTATAACTTAGCAGTAATTCGACGAAATGTCAAAAGTTTAGCTGTGAAAACTATTGATGGATTTGAAATATGTACTTTTTAATATTGAAACAAAAGAAACAATGACAGCAGATGAACTCAAACGAAAACAGACACGGACGACGGACGCCACTGAAAAATGCATAAATATCAATGTAGTGTCATTGGTCATAATAATTCGTTTACAATAAACAGTAACAAACCATTGCGTTATAAGATAATCCGATCGCTGATTGGTTGAATATTGCGTTTTAACATAATGTTAATCTTACTGTTTCAGTAATTTAATTGCCAACGCGAAGGAATTAAAATTACCGTTTCGAACAAAATTACTAGTCACGTGGCTTGTTATATTATACTAGTTATATTTTACTAGTGCAGCAAATATGACCTTCCACATACCGATTGACAAGGACAAAAAATAATTAAAATTTGCTTGTACACTGAAAAAAAGTAGTGTGAGATTTTTGGTTGAGCTAAACTATTTTCATAAAAAAATAACTATAAAATAATAAAATAAAACTAACTAATAAAATAGCATTGACTAATCCTTTTGGTGTAAGGGTTTATTTCATTAAACTTTTTAATTTTTTTTTTCCGTAAGTGGCGAAATGCCACATATAAGTAACTTAACTAAACAATACTAAAATATTACAGAACTTCAAAAAATCATAAAAATGCCCCAAATATTTCTTCATCTTCAAAAGAACAATATTATCAGGTAAAATTTTGTTGTCTGCTTTAAATAAATCGGTATATATTCCTACAAGTACACTTTATTTGTGAAATCTACATACTATGTATTTAAAAATGTATAAATAATAAATTCTAATATCCTCGAAAACCGCATGAAACCTTTATTAACTCAACTTCTTCTTCTTCTTTAACAACAATAATTGCGTAAGTAATATAAACTTATTTTAGACAAATGGTTACCTCAATTTATTATGATGTTTTTCACTAATGTCAGGACTTTTTCTCTCGATGAGGAATGTGCCTTAATCCTTAGTTCCTGCGTTAAGGGTACTAGTATTTTACGGTGAAATCAATTTTCCAGCTTCAAGGGGATGGCTACTAGCTTCACAAACCAAATACAGGGTAAACTACAGAATAAGTTAAACAAGTTTTAAATATTAAGCTATAATTCTGACACCATTATATAAAAATTAGTCAAATTTCAATATGGTAATAACATAGGTGTTTGTCATATTGTTTCAACATAATCACATTATTTACTTACCTCTGTATTTAATTTTTTGCCTGATATACTTAAATTTAGGTACGTAAGACAAATGAATTTAAACATATGGTCGGGTGGGAGAGTCCTCTGCACACGGTACGGCAACTGGTGTAATATAGGATCATTAATCTGCTTGGTCGGGCCAGAACAACAAAACATTAATTGTAAATTCACATTTATATTCATATAGTAATGAAATATGGTAAAAACTCATGAAATATTAGGATTAATACATTTCAAAATGTGACAGTAAACGTGAAAGCAAACAATACATGATAAAACGAAAATATACAAAAAATAAAATGGTACACGCAAAACTACAATGCCTTCATAAATGTCCCACGTGACCAGATTTGTCTTAGCGCTCAGTAAATTTGAAGAAAAATTATCAACTAGAGCCTAGATTGAAATGTCAATCCCGAGGCATTCGTAATTTTTCATGCTTTTATGCCTATTGTTTGTACAATTTAGCGGTGATTACCAGTATTTATGTGCTTTTCTACAAATTATTTTTTGTCTGCTGTGTAGAAAAAAAATGTTCTTTTCAGAACTCCAAAAAATTCGACATTTTTTCCGTAAGTTAAACGAATATTTTAAGGTTATGTTTCATTTGTTACTTTCTTATTTTTTGTAGTTTTGTGTAAAAATACCGGAACAAGAAACTACGAGTACGATATTGTGGATGGTTTAATGAATATTTAAACGACGATAATTTCTTAGACCTGATGTTTTATTCGTATGAGGCATGGGTATATTTATCTGGTTATGTAAATAGTCAGAATTATAGAAGTTGGGCTTCAGAATATCCGCATAATTCTATTGAAATATCGTTACATCCTCAGAAGATATGTATCTGGGTAGCAGCTTCAAGAAGACGGATAATAAGCCCAATTTTTTTCCGAAAAGCAATAAATGGAGAACGATACCGTAACATTTTACAACAAACCCTGAAATTGATGTATGCCTATGAGCTGTAGCATGGGTATTTTCAACAAGATGGAGCCACAGCACATACTGCAGCCGAAACTATAAGATATTTTCAGGAATTTTATGGTAATAGATTGATTACTAAGAGTTTGTGACTTGCTCGAAGTCCTGATCTCACACCTTTAGATTTGTATCTGTTTGACTATATCCAAAATAAGGTATTTAAAAAATTCACTCCACATAGTGTTGGAAACAGCAATTGAAAATAAAATAAACATTATAAGTAACACCAAATGAACGCGTTTTTGAGTACATCAAACGAAGAGTAAATTTGTTTGCTAGCTGAGTAAAAAAAATTGTATTAATCTTACCATTATTGTAAGAAAAAAATAATTTACCTAGAACAAAAAAATTAATAAAGCTCTGAAACTTTTTGTATTTTATTAACATTATTCTTATTACCTATCTCTGAATGAAAATGGATTATTTACAAAGGAGCTTATGTTTTTAAAAGATCAACCTTCTTCAATCAAAATACTTTTTGAATGGGATATAAAAATGATTTTTTTCTATCGAAAAATGAAGCACATTTTGCATATTAAAGTTCAATGTTTGTAAAGAAATGTAATATATTCTCCGTCACCTGTCTTTAGGATTACCACCTGTTTTTGGGGAATTTTGTGTTAATCATTGACTTCATTGTTTCAAGTTTGGTTGGTAAATTTTTTGCAAATGTATAAAGGACCCCGCACAAACCTTATGGAAAATGGCTTTCGGTCAAAATGGCTTCAAAGCTCTATATCTTTAAACCTACTCATAGGATCGCTTTGGGCCCATGACAACTTTTGCTCAGGAAGGTGAAAGCTATATCATATTTCAATTTCAGCCATTTTGACCGAAAGCCATTTTCCTTATGGTTTGTGCGGGGTCCTTTGATGTAAATTTACATGTTTTTCTTTAGTATATAATGATTTTATCGAATTTAATTATAATGCTTTTTAAGTCGAATCCGATGGAACTTACGGCTCTCTTAACCAGACCGCTCTCTTGCAGCCGTCCGCATTTTCGTTGGGCGACATGTGCGTCCCTCCTATGGCCAACGTGCTGAAAGTGTTCCTGGAGAACGGCCAAACGAAGTCCTTCAAGTATGACGCATGGACTACCGTGCAAGACGTCGTCACGTCTCTCGAGACTAAACTCTGCTTGCAAGCCACCGAACACTTCAGCCTCGTGGTGGAACATATCAAGTCCTTGAAGAGGAACAAACTGACGTTGCTGGATCCCCAGGACACCTTGGCGAGGGTGAGTTAATTTGAACAACTCAGTTGAGTGTGAAATTTTTGAAGTTAAGAGTTAATAGGAAGTTACTTCTCAAACATTACACATAGGTCCATAAATCTTCAGACGGCTGTCATTTTAATTTTTAAAAAATATCGAATTTGTTTTGGGGTAGGATCTTGTATTTTTACATTTTCGGCTTTTCAGATATAAACAGTAAACAGTATAGTCTTCTCAAAGCGTTTATTTATGATTAAATATAAAAATGTCCAACCAATGATAAAGTGTCCATTAGACCAAGTATTTTATATTAACGTGAATTATAAATACATTCTCATTTATGCAGAAGCAGATTTGAAATCTTTAATGGAATACCCAGAAGTTTAAAAAATTTGGGAAGTTTTGGTGCTAAAATATTTTATATCTTAAACAAATATTTGTAGTCTAGGCTGTATCGTCGCTCCCGATAGGAACATGATTCTCATTCGATTTTTTTATATTCTTATTAAAAAAATGACCCTTGAAATATATCCGCATGTTGCCAAACGTTACTAATGGTCAAAAATTGTTTAAACAATTTTTTTTAAACAAATTCGTAATTTTCGATTTTTTCGCTCGAAATAAATTAATTTAGGCTTTTTGGGGTATCCTGAACAAAAATGTTCCGATGCAACTTTTCTCTAAAATCTACCGTTTTTGAGATATTAACGATTTTTTGTTCGAAAAAACGCGATTTTAACCATTTTCAACGTCAATATATTAAAAATTGCAATTTTTAGCGTTGCCAAAATTCTTAAATAATCTTTGAACATCCCTTAACAAAAATCCGAAGAGTTACGCCGGCATATTTTATTCTGAAGACTCGATTTTTTTATTGTTAATAAGGCGCGCGCGCGCCGCGTTTTTCGGTCGCTCTTGGCCGCCTCCGTATACTGCGTCTCTCTTTTCGAGCGAAAAAATCGTATATTACGAACATGCAACATGCGGATATGTTTCAAGAATCATTTTTTTAGTAAGATTATAAAAAAAAAAATCCAATGCGTATCATGTTCCTAGCGGAAGCGACGATACAGCCTGGACTATTGCTCAATATGAATCCTCAAAGTAATATTTTATTTTACCAAAAAAAATAATTACATTTGGGAAAGTAATATTACAAATTTGCTGCACGACTAAGGCTCCCAAGTTTTGAACATGGCTCGATTTATTTAAGGGTCTTAAATTATATATTAGTGGTATTCCATAAGTCATTATTTAAGAAATGGTTTTATAAGTGCAAAAATTACTTAAGAAGAAGGATACAAGCAAACTTTCAAATATGAAGCAAACTTGCAACATTTTTAATGTTCTATGTTTACTGAATTTTTTTACACTTGCAGTGACTATTTCAATTATTATTTCGTTATAGAGAGAGGAAATATCTGGAAAAGCAAATAAATAGATTATTTGGTAAATTATATAAGGTGTCCCAAAAAAGACAACTGTTCAAGTCATATTAAAAAATTTTCAGTTAAAAGTTGTGGGAAGTATTTCTGAACGTTCCCTGATAATTTCATATACAGATTTCAAATTTTTCGTTTGGTTTATTTATTTATTTATTTGAACTACAGCTGTCCTTGTCTGAGTATGCGAATTAAATTAAAGGTCAGGAGAAACAATAAAAGATTTCATGAAAAAGCATAAAACTAAGATATTTCCTCTGAACTTTTTCCAAATTAGAAATATGAACCTCCTGATTCCAGATAACCGATGCATATTCTAACTTTGTCCTGACAAATGCATTATAAAGTAATGTAAGGGTAGAAACATCCCTAAAATATATAGAATTCGTCATAATAAAAGTTCTTCAAATTCTTGTAGGCGTTAGATATAATATATTCAATATAGGGAACAAAAGTCAATTTTGTATCAAAGATAACACCCAGATCTTTAAATTGCGTCGAAATAGTCAAACTTAATAGCAACTTTTTTTCTTTTAAAACTCATAACGTTGCACTTGAAGATATTTAATGGCAACTTATTATTTTGGCACCATACATTTATTTTCGACAACTCTTGTAAATGATAACAATCTTGAAGTGTATCAGCAGATGCAAATAGCTTCATGTCGTCAGCATCCAAAAGGGTATGTGTCTGAATGTCTTTAAATAAATCATTTATAAATATAATAAATAAGAGAGGTCCAAGTACCGATCCCTGTGGAATCCCTAGGTGTCGCCAACACGTCAATTGATTTATAGCTCCGATATTGAACATTTAGAATTCTGTTACTGAAATAAGATTTAAAAAATTTAAGAAAATCTAATGTTAATCCTAATTTAGATAATTTATGTAACAATAGCCCATGATCAAGCTTGTCAGAGGCTTTCGATATATTTGTACATACAACATTCGTTTTCGATAGTAACAAGACATGTTGTTGATCTCCCAGAAATAAAAACATGTTGTGAATAGTATATATGTGCATTTGAATGGAAGCAAAGGATATTATAAATAACCATCTCAAATAGTTTTCAAAGTTACATAGAATAACTTTCTGTCTATAATTTTCAATGTTCATTCGATCTCCATTTTTGGAAATAGGACATATTTTCGACTTTGTCCAAATATCAGAAAAAGTGGCAGATTTAAAATATAAATTTAAAAAAAACCCTACGCAGTAAAGCAAATATATGTGCACAGTCTTTTAATGAAAAAGCTGGAATTCCGTCAGGACCAGTTGTTAACATATTGCTCTTAAATCTCTGGTATATGAAGTGATTACACATTGTTTGTAAAATCCGGCTTAGATTCATCATACACAGGTGAATGAATAAACGCAGATTGAAAAAGTGAGTAAATACATCTACTATACCATGTGTATCATTAATGACATTATTATGATAATTCATTGAGTTGATTATACTAAAGATATTTTTTAAGTTATGTAAAAAAGATAAAAAATTACCAGTATAAGATTTAATATGCGATTCCTCTTTTATAACATATTCTTTGTGTGCAACATCAATATCCCTTTTAATCTGAGAACGTAAATCTGAAACTAAAGAGAGAGACTGGTCTTCTGTTATATGACATCCACTAAATTTAAACAATTACACTGGCACACAAAAAGTGGTCTGTACCTTTGATTTGACCCAATAGACTTTATGTATTTAGCTCAAATATCCCCAAAATTTTGAGTAATGGCAAAAAATAACGAAAAATCGCCGAAAATAGGTTAGTGGGCCCAAAAAATTCGAAAAAATTTGTTCCCAACTTGATCAAGTGAGTTTCTCATGTATTTTGATCTGCTGAATCCAAATCTGAAGTCTTTTAAACTACACCCCTCCGCAGATTTTGCAAAAATCGCAATATAATAGCGAAAAAGCATCAAAAATCACGTCGAAAATCACGTCGAAACATTTTTTTGTATTTTGATACGCTGACTTCGAATCTGAAGTCAATTAGCTGTACCCCCCACAGATTTTGCAAAAAAAATGCAAATAGCTGAAAATGGCAAGAAATCATATTAATAGGAGTGAGAAAATTTAGAAAGAGGTTTTCTAGATTGGATCAAGTGTTCTTCTCATAAATTTTGTCGAATCGAATTTGAATCTAAAGTCTGTTGAGCATCAATTAAGCACTATTACTGAAGATTGCTACGACTTCCAATAGCTCACTGATCCTGGGCCAGCAATCAGCATTCACAAAATATTCCTGCTTCTTATGTTTATGGCACAGCAGGTATAGGAAAAATCACTACGTTCAGAAAGAGTGACCAACGAGAACGGAGTTTTATTCCAGGGACAAGGAATATCATCCACCACTGATTGAGCCTTCAAAAAATTCTACTACCAACTCTTCATATTAAGCTTGGTATCATGAAGCAATTTGTCAAAGTTCTGGACAGAGACGGTGACTGTTTCCAATATTTAGGAGAGAAAGTTTTCAGCGATAAGTGATGTGAAATTGAAGGTATTTTTGATGGTCCTCAAATTCGTACTCTATTTCGCGACGAAAATTTCATTACAAAGATAAATGACACTGAACAAGCAGCATGGCGAAGTTTCAAGAATATCTCTCGAAACTTTTTAGGAAATGAGAAGAGTGGGGATTACGAGAATTTGGTTGAAGAGATGTTGAAAAATTTCAAACAGTGAGGTTGCTTGATGAATAAATTGCACTTCATACACTCTCACCTTGACTACTTTCCTCAAAACCTTGGAAACTAAAGTGAAGAACGGGAGAAAGATTAAATCAAGATGAAATGAAATGGTGAAATGGTGAATCGATACCAAGGACGATGGGAGTTAGTAGAATTTGATCGAACACTTGATCCAATCTAGGAAACCTCTTTCTTCTGACTCTCATTAATATGTTTCTTTTGACATTTTCGGCTATTTTTTGTGAGTCATTTGCATAATCTGTGGGGGCTTATAGACTTCAGACACGAATTCAGCCAAAATACATAAGAAACACACTTGATCAAGGTCAGAAAAAAAAATTTCGAATTTTTTTGCACACTAACGTGATTTTTGTCGATTTTTCGCAATTTCTAGTGATACGTTGCTATTATTTTGCGATTTTTGCAAAATCTGGGGGGATGTAGCTTCAAATACTTCAGGTTTGGATTCCGCACATCGAAATACATAAGAAACCCAATTGATCATGTTCAGAACAGTTTTTCAAATTTTTTTGCGCTCACTACCGTGGTTTTCGGCAATTTTTCACTATTTTTTGCCAAATACTTAAAGTTTTAGGAGGTGTTTGTGCTAAACGGGCTTGAGATTCGGATTCAGCACGTCAAAATACATAAAACCTTCCGGGGCAAATCAAAGGTACAGACCACGTTTGTTTTTTGTGTGCCGGTTTAAGTAACTCATTATTTTTTATGCGAAGACGTTGTAAATTTGTTTTCCGATAAATTGTAGAGAACATTTTCAGCCCAAGTGATTTGCCCCAGCACTATTTTAATTTATATATACAAGGATGTGTACAGCTGAGATAAATCTGGTGTCGGAGCGAAATGGGACATTTACGAAATTAATTTACAGATAGCATCTCGTCCGGGTGCTCACAAGCTGAGGTGTCTATTCAGGGTGGCGTTCGTACCCGCATCGGCAGCTGCACTTGCTCAAAGAGATCTCCACGCCTTAGACTATCTTTACACCCAGTGCTGCAATGACGTGATACAAGAAAGGTTCGCCCCTGAACTTCAATACGAGACGGCACTCCGCCTATCGGCCCTGCATATTTATCAGCACGCCTTGGTTAATAATATCCCAGCTGCGAAGCTGACGGTCAAAACTGTAGAGTAAGTATTGCGTCACTATATAATCTAATTAGATAAGCATTGGAAGGAATTTACCGGCTTTCCAGTTCTTTTCACCTGGATAAATTTTTAAGGAAATTGAATTTCTCGACAATTTTTATCATTTCTTTTTAGTAATTTTTCGTCAAACTTGAATTGAACATTGTGAATTTTGCGTTTCTGCAGGATATCTGTAGTGTAAGTGCTGTATGGTCAATTTAAAACATAATATTACCGGAAAATAAACACATAAGTTTTATGCGACATGGGTCCTAAGTTTATCCGAGTAAAAAAGAGATTTTTTAGATTGATTTAGTTACAAGTTGTGTGTGGTTATTAACTGGTTACACTTAAAGTTGCGGCGTGAATGGCGGAGAACAAATAAAACGTTGCTCATAAAACTAGATTCCATTAGTAAATTGTTCAAAATGTCCCCCAGCACATTCTTAACAAGTCCGTATTTTACTAATCCAATAGGCAGCTTCGGCTATTTTTTAATTGAATTAAAATGAACTGAATATGTAAAAAATATTTTTGCAAATATAAAAATAAAAAATAAGGCAGTTCTAATTATTTACTTTCCAACCGATGCGAAGCTACGAAACCTACCCGTGCACGAGGCTAGGGTTCGTGGCGTCAGTTACTAGATGAATGCTTCGCTAGTTAGCGCGTCAACTGTTGTGTTCCATATTTATTATAAAGGGTGTTCCTAAAAAGTCTTTACAATGCTCTACCAGATACAGTCCGGCTCAAAATAAGTTGATTTAGCTAAACTTACCATAGTTGAAGTTGCAATTTTGAAATAGTTTTTTTTTAAACGCTTTATGTGATTTTGCTGAAATTTGGTAAGTTGGCATCGCCCTATAGAACAATAATTAAGGTATCTTAAATGTGACAAGTTTTATTTACTTGAAACTATGACAACCAACAATCACAATTATTTGTGTAAAGGTAACTACCTGGAAACTTGTGAAAAAACCGTATGCCGAAAAAAGCTAATAAAAAAAAGTATTCCATACGCCAAGTCTTAAAAAGTCTTATTTTCATTTTAAAGAGTATCATGAACAATTCTAAATAATTTTGTACTAATTTAATTTTTGTGCCAAAATTGCTGCCAATGATAAAAGAGTACCTTATTTTGTAGTAAATAGTTTACTTAATCTAAATTTTACACTTAAAATTCTTTTTTTCTATTGGTGTAGAATTATGGAATATGTAATTACTAACAAACTCAACTTCTACCCCAATGGATTGATATTACTCATAATTTTGATGTGGGGTTTATTGTTCTACAGAACGGTGTCGGCTTACCAAATATTAGCAAAATCGCATAAGGCGTTTTGAATTAAAAAAAAAGGATTCAAAATTACAACTTCACCGCTCAAACGGAATTTTTAAGTTTACTTAAATCTATTTATTTTGATCTGGTGGAGCATTAGAAATATCATTTAGGGACACCCTGTATAGTAGTCGGTAAAGTTGGATGGTTTATTGAAGCGAGAAGCAATAAGGTGGTTTATTGTACCAAAACGTACTAATATGTCTATTACCCCTCTAAAATTTTTTTTGTAACAATCCCTAGTCCAGAAAAGACGAGAAAAATGGTTTGCATTAACTAGGAGAATGTTGAAGTATCTCTAACATCGGCACTACTATCAAGATCAGTTTTTTTTAAGTTTTTATTCTATTAAAAAAAAGATAAGTAATATGATACATTTGAGCATGCTGGAAAAAATATGGATAAGCTGTTGGAAATTTGTTGTTAACCAAAATGAGTTAAACAGAAAAAGAACGCAAGTTAAAGAAATTTTAGATTACTTATATCAGTACGAGAAACAACCACATTAGAACAAGATGTATCGGACCTTCCACGTCATTTACTATTCCCAAAATTCGTGAAAAAACGTGTCAAACAAATCTAATACATTTTAGAAATACATAGTACAACCAGTCAATGTTAGAAAAATAAGCATATTTCTATTTCACATCAAATTCTGAACGCATCCAGAGTATTATACTTGAAAACAATCAGACTTTAGTAACACCACAATGGAAACGTCGTTTTCCAATTTTTAACCATCGGTCGATGATGAAGTGCTCCAATTATTTTGGTAGAAGCTATTAATATAGCTATTTATTTAATCAATCGTTCTCTTCCCCTACAAAAGATATCGAGGATAAAAAAAGTCCAGAGGAATCGTGATAATTCCAATCGAAATGAAGGATTAGAACTACCTACCTGAAATCTAGAAATGAATTATTCACAAAAACAAAAAAACCAACGACACCGGAAAACCAGCCTGTAAATTGTTCAACCAAATCATTTCATACCTTTTTAGAAGTTAATCCGCACAATCTTTTGTGGATTATAGTCAGATCAGCGATTGGGATTCTGTAAATTAAAAATTTTGTCGTGTGTAGAGTGAGTCTGACTTTGTTTTGTTAATAAAATTCATGCAGAATTCTATGAGGAAATTCTGTTCTGCCAACTTCTACGCCCGTTGGACATGACATAATATAATTTGATGCTTAGTTTGTTGATTGGTAATTCTCTTTGCACTTGTTATCGTCAGTAAAATCTAGTAGCTGCTCCTTTACCTGCAAAGGAGTTTATTTTTGTGATCCTCGTTCTGGGCTATAGTCTAGGCAAGTTAGACCAAAATCATCCAGAATAAGGAAATTTTTTTCTGATGAGCCGATCGAGTTGCGGTTTTCGGCATTGTCTTTGGAAAAATATCAGGAAAAAAGTCTATCTATTACACTTTGGGGCTGGATCGAAACTGCATTGCGGGAGCATAAATTGCATCTTGGAGTGCATCAATTTTTTCGAATTTTCTAAAAATGGTAAAAATTGACTAAAGTTGTATAAATTTCTGTGCACGGGTTTTCGGGGTCGGAGATTCCGAATCTGACCCTGAAAAATATGTCCGACGGCCCTGGGGCCCCCAGAGGGGCAAGGGGGGGCCTTCTGTGAAACATTGAATAGCTGAGTAATTGCCTTCTAAATCCCCACTCGGGGGTTTTTGGGGACGATTCTGACACAGAAAAGTATGCCCGACGCCCTGGGCTATCACAATCACAGGAATTTCCTAACCTCAAAAACAGGTCAAAAATAGCAAAAATTCACGAAAAAGTGCTAAGAAAAATGGAAAGTGTTAGGAAAAATACATTTTTTTTTCTATATTAAAATGTTCATTTATATGGTTAACACCCCGTCGAACGTGAATCCGCGTTCAGAATTGATGGCTCAATTTCTAACCAAAAAAAAACGGGTTAATTAAGGTCAGACATCACGAATTTTCAAAAAAAATAAAATTCGCGACAAATTTGTTTACGGAGGTTTTCGGGGTCACTGATCACGGATCCGAGGTCAATTATGCAAAATTCAAGACGGCGGATCCAAGATGGCCGAGCTCAGCTATTCGGTGTTTTACAGAAGGCCCCCCTTGCCCCCCTGGGGGGGGGGGGTCAGGGTCGTCGGATATATTTTTCAGGGTCAGATTCGGAATCTCCGACCCCGAAAACCTGTGCACAGAAATTTCTACAACTTTTAGTCAATTTTTATCATTTTTAGAAAATTCGAAAAAATTGATGCACTCCAAGATGCAGTTTATGCACCCACAATGCAGTTTCGATCCAGCCCCAAAGTGTAATAGATAGACTTTTTTCCTGATATTTTTCCGAAGACAATGCCGAAAACCGCAACTCGATTGGTTCATCAGAAAAAATTTTCTGATTTATTGTCTAACTTGCCTGGTCTACTAGGAATAACACCGCCAGTGCATGCAACAAATAATGATCAAACGTCTGGTAAACGTCAACTTGATTATAGGTTATCATAGATAGGTCCTGCGTCAAAAGAATTGTGTAAATTAATAACATGTAATTTCATGTAAACAAACTACAACGCAAAAAGTTACCTATTTGCCAATGGTACAATTAAAAATCACTTGACACAATAATTATGGAAACAACACAATACCTCAATTACAACTGCCGATCGACAAGTATCCAGAGAGCAGTTTGTAAAACAATAAAAACAACAGAGATGGATTACAATTGAGTATCGTTCACACATTACAAATTGTCATATTTTCTTATTATTACGCTTAGATGTAAACAGTGTAGTCTTTTATTTTGCAAGCTGTGAAGTTCACAAAGTTCCTTACAAATGTTTTTTTCCCGGAAACGGTCATTAGTCTTAATTTTAATGACGCGACGTTTCATTGCTGACATGTTTTATCCATGTTTGATCTACTTATAATATTATATAGCACTTACACTGCGAGCATCACATAAATCTTATATTAATCTTCAAATAACGAAACGATTAGGGTTTCCTAAAGACATGCGATATATTTTACAAATTGCAGGGCATAAATGTAATATATTTTAGGCGGGAATTTGGTTTGGAACGATTTGTACCGGCTTCTCTTTTGGAAACTATGAAGAGGAAAGAAATTCGAAAACTTGTAGGTCACTTTCTGAAACTACACGCCAGCATGGCAGGTCCCGGCAAGCAACTAACTGCGCTGCAAGCAAAACTGCACTATCTAGATATAGTAAGTCAACTACCAAGCTATGGAGCTAAATGTTTTTCTGCCGGACCACGAGGCGATACTATGGAACGGGTTATCTTGGTTAGTCCGAAATTTGGAATTAGCCAAATAACTGGCACTAGGAGTTCAGTGGTAAATATAAATAATTGTCTTGTATCAAATGCACGAAATAATTTATCAGTTTCAGCCGGTGCCAATCGCGAATATCGAAGACATGCGTAGGATAGAAGTCAGAAGTGAGGACGAAGTTAGTCGGACGGTGCTAATACGACTACAGAATGACAAAGTTGTTTCGATATCTTTAGAGGAACGTGACGCGAGCGAATTGGTTTTGGTATTGAGGGGGTACTTTAAACTTGAAACAGGTCAAAATTTACCGGTAGATCAGGAAGAGGCCCCTCCCATGGAAGATTTAGCGCCACCGTATTTGTCACAACATAAAGTGGTACCAGAGAAATGGAGTTACATTAATCCAAGCTCCATGAAAAACGTTTGCTTTGCGATGCAACCGATGTATAAGGGAATTAACAAGAAAACAAATGGTTTATACAATACAGTGGGGCGACAATCAAAACCACCCTTAGTGCTTGGCTACAGTTTAGATAGTAATATGAATAGCTCACTGTCCAATAGGAACCATCAGTTTAACAGTTTCGATAATAATTCTATTGACTTTCAGAGTGTCGTTTCTATGGAGATCCTAGAAAATGGGATTATTGAGGCTAAAAATGATGAGGTACGTACATATTTTTTTGGTGAAAGCTTAAACTTATAGTTATTTTTTAGGTTTTAAGACGCGTTCACGAAATGCACCAACTTGTGGAAAATTCGGAAAAGTATTTAACCGAACAGGAAAATTTAGAGAGGCTAAATGCATTATCAGAGTGGCAAGAAACGAGTGTAGATATAGAAAGTGATTCTGACGAACCAGGACAGTTAAAACACAGCGATTCTTTGTTGCTTTTGACAAAAGGTCATAATTCGGAAAGGCGGCATTCCTTTAGCAATGCAACTATAGAATTACTGCGTCAAGAAACTACTTGTTCGGAGAGCGACAATGATTCCATCTACACTCCACAAAATTCTCCAAAACATAAACAAATCACTGAAGATAGTAGAAATAATAGGATAAGTTTTGGTTTACGCAGCCCTGATAATAATACAGATAAGGAACAAGACTTCCAAGCTTATCTTCAACATTTACGAGATGTTAAGAACAACGGTGAAAATATGTCTGCAGATTTGGACTCCATTAATGACATTTACGTTTTTGACCCAGATATTATAGATTTAACAATGATTCCACCACCAAGCACGCCAGATGAATTAGACTGTGCCTTACCAACACCTATAAACGTGCCACCCAGGTCTTTTGCGGACTCTGTAGATAAACTGAACAGATTAGGTAAGAAACTATAAACTAATTGTAAATAATAATTATGTTTTCATGTTTTATATTACACCTTAGATATATTAAATGAGGACCAAGACCTTGAAGAATTCCTAGCCAGTGTAACAGTACATCCGCCAACTCAAAAAGTAACTCCAGCTGTAGAACTGACGCCAGAAGAAATAATGGCATATATTATTCCTCCACCACCTAGCCGCGGTAGTTTAGAAAATCTAGTAATGTCAGAAGCTGAACGTTGTACTGAGAGCCTGCCGACGGCTATCGAAAGTAATGGTGATATTAACAAAAATTCTAATGGAGTTAGACGAAGAAGTAGCAATGGTAGTGTACATTCAAATATTATAGAATATGCGACTGTCGATCGCAAAGGTGCTTTTTCCTGTTGTGCGAAAAATAAGACTGAGAAATCTGTGAAAATTGATGAGAATATTCAACCACTTCCGAGGAGAAGCTCTGATGAAAAACCACCAGAAAGACCACCCAAAAATGTAGCTCAGGAAAGACAAAGATCGCAATCCTTAACATCAAATGCACACATTGCATCAAGTACTGAGTATCCACCGAAACTACCTCCAAGGGGTGAAAACAATCACCAGGCACCAGCTCATTTATTTTTACCCCCCAAGAAGCCTCCTTTGCCTCCAGTGCCTCCTTTAGAGGTTCTCAGACAGAAGAAAAATATACAGCAGGGTAAGCCGTGTCCTGACTTAAGAACGGCCAGTATTGGTTCTCCACATCTTCAGAGGACTCGAAATGTTTCAAACGATTTAGAAGTAACTGAAAATGGGGACAATGGTTTGTCCCTGAAACACGCTACTGCAGTTAGTACACCGACTTCCCCTCACTTAGGTATGTAGGCAAAAAATATTTTTTCTATGTCAGTATTGTTTTTCTCAATTTCATTGATTTTGTGGCCACCATTATACATTTACAGGAAGGGGAGCTCACCTAACAGCTGTTCCAGTCACAATCGATTCTCCCGGTGCTCCCAATCTATCAAACAATCACCAACAGAGATCTCCAACATCACGATCACCTATATACGTTCAAAATCTGCCGGAATCTTCTCCCATCCACGACAGATTTAGGAATTCACACCGAGAGCAAGTACATCAAGTGTTTGGCAACTGTCAAATTCGAAATGGATGTACTTCCAACAGAGAAAATCTACTGGCGAAAACTGATGTAGCCATGGCCAGTTTGTTGGTCAGATTGGATCAGGTTGCCGCTCAGTGTAGTGCCGCTCAGGTTCATGGAGGAGGTAGATTCATAAGTGAGGAGAAGTTTCAAGTAGGTTGAATACAAGAATATTTTGCTTTACATTTATGTATGTTATTTATGTTTCAGGCGGCAAAAGACGAGCTAACTACTCAGTCCCTTCAACTTGTAACATCCAGTAAGATGTTAGTGATAGCCATGTCTGATCCTAATCTTCCCGATCTACCGGAAAACTTAGCAATTTGTCTGACAATATTGAGGAGATTAACAGAACTATGCCAGGACTTGACAAACCATACAACGGCACCATTGCAGACGAGGAACCTGATTCTAAAAGTCCATGATGTTACTGCTGCATTCCGACACCTTATAACCTCAGATATAGACAGAAGTTCTCAGAAAGCCATTGAGGAACATCTGGCTGCTCAAGCTGAATGTTTAGCGAATGTTTTAGCGACATTGTTGAGAAGTTTAAGGGTATTTTCCCCTTAGGTAAATAAGGATTGTTTGTGTTATACTTTTATTTTGATTAATCACCCGATTTTTAAATATGAACTTTGTTTTCACCAGGTAAGTGAAACGGCATTATGGTTTTCAGAATATTCAGGATTATCATTTGATATGTACCTTTTTATGTTTGTTTCTAGTCATTTGTTAGCTTTTTAAGTTTTAGGCACAATCAAATATAATGACCAAATATTATTAAAAACGCAATATATGTATATTTAAAATAAGTCTGAAGTTGTTAAATACTCCTTAACTATGTGATATTGTATTATATCATTTAGTCAGTTTGACTTTGAAAGTAATGAAATGAATTAATGAGAAAGGCGGTTCAGTCATATGAGGAAATCTGTCCAATAATCATATGTTATTGTGTGATGATTTTTATTGAGTATTAATCACTATTAATTACATCTAGACTACTAGTCAGAAATTAGTACAATAACCATAGTAGAACATCTTTTAAGTTACCCCCAAGCCAATGTTTTAAATATTCACCCCTTTCAAAGAATCTACCGTGTACATATATTTATATTATTTGTTGAAAATGTTGGTTAAATGTTAAACAATTATATTTCTTGTTATTTTGTGGTACTTTTAGGGAACGTTTCAGAATTCCGCTGATTCTTTTCAATTCCAATAAAAATTACTAGGTATTTAAAGGAAGCGCAATATCTTGATGAATCTGAAATTTATATTAATTTATGAAATTGTTTATTTATTAACATGTAACATTACTGTAACATATCTTATGTATGTAATAAAATTATTACCACAAGTTATGTTTGTTTTATTAAAACTGACAAACGCAAAATAAAAATTGTCATACCTAATTAAATAGTTACAAAATTTATAATAACAAACTCATACAGGGTGTCCCATAAGCACATGATCAAAAAAATACTGCTCAAAAGAAGACGATCTGACCTAACTTCCACTAAGAAAAAATGTCTGGCTCCTCTGCTATCGATTGTCAAAGTTCTTGAAAAAAAATCATGTTTTTTGTAATATCTGGAGAATGTTACTATGGATTTTAATGAAACTTGCGTGGACTTATTCCTAAGTAAGACTCATGTTTTGATGAAGCAACCGCGTCCATCCGCCTTGGGCAAGTAGTAAATACAAGATTTTACCAAGAGCACGGAAATCTCGAAAAAGGACTGATGCATCAATAAAAAAAATGAATTGATTCCAGTGACCAAAAAAAAAAGTTGTGATAATTCCTGTACCAAGACACTCAAAATCAATTTACCACTTGCCCAAGGCGGCTGGACGCGGTTGCTTCATCAAAACATGAGTCTTACCAATACCTTTTTGATCATGTGCTTATGGGACACCCTGTATAACACGCTAGAAGTAATTTTGATAGAAAACACAGGTTTTTAATTAAAAATTGTAAATTTTTTATTGATTTATGAAGTATACACTATCACTATAGGGTTATGTATGGAGTAGCATATCTGGTAAATGGCCTTCACGGCTTTGTTGGCTCTTGTCGGAATTTTCTATGACCATTTTGCATAAATGCGACCGAATTTCGTTGACACAGGCGCTCAATTTCCTTCTTCGAGAAATGGGTGGTTATGGACTTGTTAGTATAAATCTTGGACTTCAAAAAATCCATATGAAACACCGTTAAATCGCATGATCTGGGTGGCCAATTCTGATCACCAAAACGGGAAATTACACGACCAAGAAATGACTGATGCATTATATTAATTAATTGTTTCTCGGACTATATGGCATGTAGCATCGTCTTGTTGAAACCACATGTCGTCTACCATATCCCAATCACTCGATTAACGAATCCATCATGTAGTCCAGTCATTATAGACATGGAACAGCCTGTTTCTGGAAAAAATACTATTAGAAGTTTTCTGCGGAATATTGTTCGGAAATGTGTTATAAATAAAATATCAAAAAATCAACTCGAGACTAGTTGGGAAACTTTATTTAAACAATGGTCAAAGTTATGGAAAAGTGGTTTTTTAACTCGCGTAAAAAAACTATTATTCATAGCGAAAAGAGGTTTATACAAAAAAAGGTAGGTATTAAATAAACCTTTAAAATGAGACAAGTCCGATTAAATTCGGATAATTTGTTTATGCGCAAGAGCTCAAAAATGGTCGAAAATGGCCGTTTTTTTCAATTGTTAATAATTAGTGCAATTTTCATCGTAGACAGTTGTAAATCGGGATTTTTTATGATTTTGTACCTAAATAGTTGTATTGACATATGCATTTACTGAGAATTTAGTTTTTCAAATTTAATTTGTTTAAAAATGACAGAAAAAATGTTAATATTTATTAAATTGTTAAGATACGTAATTATTATAAAATAAAATAGTAACCTCTATACTTTAGTTTTCTTCGAATTTAAAAAAAAATCGTTGTTGTAAGTTGATTAGAAGTTGAGATAATTTTTTTTTTTATTTAATCGCAGTGACCTTAATTATTAATATTAAGAGCCGAAATTTGGAGAGAGTATACATTAAGAGCTATATTTGCATGTCCTACATTAACATTAAGGTGAATTCAACTATTTAATTGCGAAAAAGAAGATAGCGGCGATGCGTTCTATTACTTGGTCTAGCGAACGAGTGGGGAGAGCGAGGCGGAGCATGCGCACTTAACAATTTAATAAATATTAACATTTTTTCAGTTATTTTTAATTTGAAAAATTAAATTGTCAGTAAATGCATATGTCAATACAACTATTTAGGTACAAAAACAGCTAATGATTGAAACCTCTACAACGCCTGTGAGCTTGGGAAAAATGAATTGAAAATAGCATCTTCTTAGATAACAAATTCCGCCAACGCCAAGCTAATGAAGCTTTTGGGCTGAAATTTTTATCACTTATTAAGGGTGTAAAATAACTCCTGAATTACAAGTGTCTGCGATGAAAATTGCATTAATTATTAGCAATTGAAAAAAGGGGACAATTTCGACCATTTTTGAGCTCTTGCGCATAAACAAATTATCCGAATTTAATCGGACTTGTCTCATTTTAAAGGTTTATTTAATACCTACCTTTTTTGTATAAACCTTTTTTCTATGAATAACAGTTTTTTTACGCGAGTCAAAAAACCACTTTTCCATAATTTTGACCATTGTTTTAACAAAGTTTCCCAACTAGTCTGGAGTAGATTTTTTGATATTTTGTTTATAACACGTTTCTGAACAATATTCCGCAGAGAAACTTCTAATAGTGTTTTTTTCCCAAAAAAAAGCTATAACGACTGGCCTAATGTTGAAAATGAGCCTCATCGCTGAAGATGATTTTGTCCGAAAAATCAGCATACACTTGTTATTCCATAATCTATTCAAGGTATTCTCTTCACTCTGCATGGTCAGTAGGATCCTGTTCTTGAGTTAATTGCAAATCTTTCGTGAGGATAAGCTGTAGAAAGCTTCTCAAAATGTCCAATTCTTGACCACGGTGCTGAATTGACGCTTCTGGGCTCAGCAACACTCTCACGAACTGCTTAGATGTTTTGTGCGAACGACTTGTTGACAGACGGCCACAGTGTTTATGATCACTAATTGATCCAGTCTCTGAATTTTTCAATTAATCTCTTCACATTTGATGAAGTTAAATCACTAAATAGTTTGATGTTTTTGTCAACAACATATTCAATTTATTAAACACTAACAATGAGTCGATTCGGTGAGTCTATGAACAACGAAATTAGTCATATTATTAATACCTATGAGGTTGCTAATGCAGTTGCGACTCAATTAACAATCTGGCGACAATTTTCTACTTTTTGCGATTGTAAAAGATATAAATTTGAGTCTATCGAGAAATTGTATCTAATACTGCAATATTGGGCTTTTAATATGCGAAAATGTGACGGAAAATACTACAACGACGCGGTAATTTGGAACACCACCGCTTAAATGCTACAAAGTAAATATTATAAAGTATTCAATATTGTATTTAACCATTTCACCGACGTACAGCTTAATTCATCACGAGCTGCACGTAATGCTAAATTTAAAATCCTACAAGCACAACCCGAAAAGAGAAAATCCAGGGCATTAGTTCTTAATGAATGTGAAGTATTTGCAATGGCATGGGCCAGATTATATGACGAAAATGAACCGGAACGACTTCAAAAGAAATTATATCACATTTTTTAATTAACTTGGCGTGGAGGAGAAGCAACCACCAGTTATTTCGTATATGAAATTGAAAATAATGGAAAAGAAACTTGACGTATAAAGCATAATCCACCATTTTCGAAAACGAGACAAGGGGGTGACAATAAATTATGTGACAGTAAATAGATTACGCCTAATATTTTACAGGAAGATATTTGCCCAGTAGGTTTATTTAAAAAGTTGATGAAATAACGAGGCACTTCCATAACATTGGATAGAGTATTTTTTTCACCAAATCCCTTTGGAAGAAGAAAAATTCTAAAGGTTGGTATAAAATACGTGCCGATTGGAATTAATGAAATTTCCAAATGGACTAAATGCTCAGCACAATACATTGATATACAGCGTGTCCCACTAGTGCGGGAAAGTCCAATATCTATGTTAAAATGAGGAATATATGGATTTTTCTTTTTACTGTGTTGCCACATTTCTCGAAATGTACAAATTAAAAATATATTCAACTATACAGGGTGTTCCACTTTTCCTGGACAGACACCAATTTTGTTTTTTAAAATGGAAACACACATTTTTTATATTTTTTTCGGATTCTACATCAAAAATAAAGGGTACTTTGTGTAGAATAGTTCTATCAAAATATTCACAGTTTTTGAGATATCTCGCTTGAAAGGTTTTTCTAGTCGATATTGGCTGCTTACATTTTCTGATACTGACAGGTTATACTAATAGCTACTAAGCCCATTTTTTTATCAGATGTTTAGTAAGGATGACTCTTCCGAATCATGCTCCAAAAACTGGCCTGCGTTATACAGGGTGACCAAAATATCATGTCAAAATTGCCAATTGAAAAATTGAAAAATCTCGATTTTTTTTTAATGCAACGCCCTGTATATTTTCATACCATGAGATGCAGAATTAAATTCTCTACAACTTTGCTATACCTGCTCCTATACCAAAATTCATTAGTTTTTCATGAAATCTCATTTCTATGAAAAAATGCGAAGT